ATAAAGGAACGTGAATGAATGAGACAGTAAAGAGCGGGACATTCTTGATATTAAAAAGACAGACAGTATTAAAAACTCAAAGCCGTGAAACAGAACTCAATCTGCTTCTGACTGGATGTTTTCTGCGCGCGAGGTCCGAGTGGAACACGGACAAGCATAGTAGATTTGTCTTCGGTGGCGCGCCTAAAAATGCCTGCACTGGTGTGTATTCACATAAATACGGTCGGCACCGTGCATTATTTTTCACTCACTCAGTCTCTTACACACACGCTCGCGCGCAGAGAAAGAGAGAGAGAGAGAGAGAACTCTGAAGAGAATTCATCCCTCTCATGTTGTAAACCATGCAACCTGCACAAGCCCTGCACAATTTTTGACGATTTGTTGCATATTTGTGTATTTTAGTTTCCATGGTCCTAATAAAGTTACTATTATTAAAACGATATTGAAAACACACACACACACACACATATATTATTATAATTTTTTTTTTTTGCTTTGGCTCTTTCGGAAAAATGCATTAACCAAAAATAAAAAAAGGCTCTTTGGTCAAAAAAGGTTTCCGACCCCTGGGATAGGACAATATTCGGCCCAGATACAACTATTTGAAAATCTGGAATCTGAAGGTGCAAAATATCAAAATATTGAGAAATCGCCATTAAAGTTTTCCAAATGAAGTTCTTAGCAATGCATATTACTAATCAAAAATCAAGTTTTTATATATTTACGGTAGGAAATTTACAACATATCTTCATGGAACATGATCTTTACTTAATATCCTAATAATTTTTGGCATAAAAGAAAAATAGATAATTTTGACCCATACAATGTATTGTTGGCTATTGCTACAAATATACCTGTGCTACTTATGACTGGTTTTGTGTGGTCCAGGATCATATATATATATATATAGAGAGAGAGAGAGAGAGAGAGAGAGAGAGAGAGAGAGAGAGAGAGAGGTGAAATATCCATAGTACGGATGCACATTTTGGCAAATTGTTAGCACTGGCAAACAATAAGCACATTTTAACTGGTTAAAATGCTGACAAGCCATTAAAAACCCGTGATCAAACAGACATGACCAAATAATTTTCTAATAAATCTTTGCTGTGAAAAAACACTGAGGAATAATAAGAATGCTTTCCATCATTTTGACAATAAGTAAATACACAAATAAATAAGATCACATAAAATGTGTAAATTAACCAATGACGTTAGTCAAACAAATTGTTGGTTAATCAATGAACGAGTCTAAATCCCTAGTCAATAGTAGTTACCGATGAAATACGCCATGAGCTCAAATCTGTCAGAACCAAAGAACACTTTGGCTTTCCCGTTCACATGACACACGATAAACGGAAAACCAAAGCACTGCAAAAATGGGTAAAAACTGTGTAAGGAAATTTTATGATATTTTTACCACAAAGACATTTTGGTGGGAAAGACAAAGGGTACAGAGATGCACTGACTTTATACTCTAGTGCCTCTTCTGTGACACTCTTCAGCTTGTCTTTGATTGGCTGAGATATGGAGAGAGTCAGAATTTCCTCCACCTCATTGGCTGAGAGACCTGCCTTTAATCCTGCCTGTGCAGAAAGACATTGGAGAATACTATTAATCATCATCTGACAGTTTACTTTATTGTCTTCACTACGGGTTTAGCATAGATAGATGTGTCATTCTCCATCTCTGTGCTAAAATATGACATTTCCTCAAATGTATGGAGTAAAACGTTAAGGATTAAAATAAGTACTAGAGAAATTGTTTAATTCATCTTGATTTAATTTCTTAATCTCAGTTATATGATACATCAGTAAGTGAGGCAGGCTGGGTAATGTCCTGATGAGTGCGCCACTTTCTCGTCCAGAGCTCTCTAGACACCCTTTCCAGTGTGTCTCCCTCTTTTCCCTTCTCTGCTACAGCTGTCACAAAACGCATCGCATTCAAAGAGTCTAAGGCGGCAACAGATAACAGGAGAAAAAAGAGAATAAAAGAGATGTGATTCACTTAGAAGCACAAGAATATTCTTTCTTCAGATTGTAACAACAATCTAATTGCACTTACTTAAGTACATACACTTTAGGGAAAAACCTTATAAAAATTTCAGTCTGGTCATGAGTACCATTGTAGAGAATCAGGCTTGAATACCTTTCTCAGAAAGCTTTGAAGGTTGAAACATTGGGACTCCAAAATACTCAGATGCCAGCTTCAGATCTGAGACCATGTACATAAGCTTACTAGGGTTCACTACAGCAGGCTGGCTATCTAGAAAAATAACAAACTTGGTAAGGTTTTCTGTCTTCACCTATAAAAAGTACAAAGTGTATTTTACAAACTAGATGAGTAAAGTTCGCAAACAAACTTTGAAGTTGGCTTGAGAAAGCCTTGTCTGAAAGTTTGAAATAGCTTTGAAAAGCTTAAAGTTCAATTTTAATTGTTGAAACTGAAGTTTGGGACAGAGTGGGAACATACATGTTTCTAGCATGAATTAGCATGTTGCTAGCATGATTTTAACGTGAATTAACACATCGCTAGCGAGATTTTACATGAATTAGCATGTTGCAAGCATGATTTAACATGATTAGCATGTTGCTAGCATGATTAGCCTGTTATTAACATGTTGTTAGCATGATTAGCAACTTACTAGCATGTTGCTAGCATGGTTACCAAATTACTAGCATGATTCTAGCATGATTAGCATGTCAGTAGCATGTTGTTAGCATGATTAACATGTTACTAGCATTTTGTTAGCATGTTTCTAGCATTATTAGCGTGTTACTAACGTGTTACTAGCATGGCTAGCAAGTTATTAGCATGTTACTAACATGTTGTTAACATGATTAAACAACATGTTACTAACATGGTGTTAACATGATTAAACAACTTACTAGCATGTTACTAGCATGGTTAGCAAAGTTACTAGCATGATTCTAGCATGATTTGCATGTTACTAGTCTGTTGTTAACATGTTTCTAGCATGATTAGCATTTTACTAGCATTTTGCTAGCATGTTTCTAGCATGATTAGTATGTTACTAGCATGATTAGCATGTTGTTAGCATTGTAAGCAAGTTACTAGCATGGTTAGCAAATTTGATAACATAATTCTAGCATGACTAGCATGTTTCTAGCATGTTGCTTGCATGTTTCTAGCATGATTCTAGCATGATTAGCGTGTTACTAGCATGTTACAAGAATGGTTAGCAAGTTACTAGCTTGTTGCTATCATGTTAGTAATCATGTTACTAGCATGGTGTTAGCATGATTCTAGCATGATTAGCATGTTGCTAGCATGATTATAGCATGATTAGCAAGTTACTAGCATGTTTCTAGCATGATTAGCATGTTAATAGCATGTTGTTAGCATAATTAGCAAGTCACTAGCATGTTGCTAGCATGTTTCTAGCATTATTAACATGTTAATAGCATGTTGGTAGGATGATTAACATGTTACTAGCATGTTGCTAGCATGATTAGCAAGCTACTTGCATGTTGCTATCATGGTTAACATGTTACTATCATTTTGTTAGCATGATTCTAGCATTACTTGCATGTTGGTAGCATGATTAGCAAGTTACTAGCATGATTTAGCATTATTAACAAGTTACTAGAATATTGCTAGCATGTTTGTAGCATGATTAGCATGTTAATAGCATGTTGATAGCATGATTAGCAAGTCACTAGCATGTTGTTAGCATGTTTCTAACATTATTAGCGTGTTACTAGCATGTTACTACCATGATTCTAGCATGATTAGCATGTTACTAGCATGTTGTTAACATGATTAGCAACTTACTAGCATGTTACTAGCATGGTTAACAAGTTACTAGCATGATTCTAGCATTATTAGCATGTTGTTAGCATGTTTCTAGCATGATTAGCATGTTACTAGGATTTTGCTAGCATGTTTCTAGCATGATTAGTGTGTTACTAGCATGATTAGCATGTTACTAGCATGTTGTTAGCATTATTAGCAAGTTACTAGCATGGTTAGCAAAGTTGTTAGCATGACTAACATGTTTCTAGCATATTGCTTGCATGTTTCTAGTATGATTAGCATGTTACTAGCATGTTGTTAGCATTATTAGCAAGTTACTAACATGGTTAGCAAATGTGCTAGCATGATTATAGCATGACTAACATGTTTCTAGCATATTGCTTGCATGTTTCTAGCATGATTAGCATGTTACTAGCATTTTACTAGCATGTTTAACAAATTACTAGCATGATTCTAGCATGATCAGCATGTTACTAGCATGTTACTAGAATGGTTAGCAAGTTACTAACATGTTGCTATCATGGTTAGCATGTTACTAGCATGTTGTTAACATGTTTAGCATGTTAATAGCATGTTGCTAGCATGATTAGCAAGTTACTAGCATGATTAACATGTTAACAGCGTGTTGCTAGCATGATTCGAGCATGATTAGCAAGTTACTAGCATGTTGCTAGCATGTTTCTAGCATGATTAGCATGTTAATAGCCTGTTGCTAGCATGATTAGCAAGTCACTAGCATGTTGCTAGCGTGTTGCAAACATGATTAGCATGATAATAACATGTTGCTAGCATGATTAGCAAGTCACTAGCATGTTGCTAGCATGTTTCTAACATGATTAACATGTTAATAGCATGTTGGTAGCATGATTAACATGTTACTAGCATTTGTTGCTGGCATGCTTCTAACATGATTAGCAAGTTACTAGCATGTTGCTAGCATGATTAGCAAGTTACTAGCATGTTGATAGCATGTTTCTAGCATGATTAGCATGTTAGCTAGCTTGTTTCTAGCATTGTTAACAAGTTACTGGCATGTTGTTTGCATGTTTCTATGCAAATACAGTTAAAACCAGCTAAAACCAGTTGATTCAGTAAAAAAAAACTGCTAAAAACCAGCTAAACCCAGTTGATTCAGTAAAACCCAGCTAAAACCAGCTTAGGCTGGTTGCCTAGTCTTAGCTGGTTTAAGTTGAAAATAGCTGGGTTAAACTTGGTTGGTCTTTTAGCAGGTCTCACAGCTTGACCAGCTAAGACCAGCCTGACCAGCTAAAAAGTTGCCAAAACCACTTTAAAACCAGCCTGGGAGACCAGCCAAAGCAGCCAATCAGCTTAGGCTCAGCTGTGTCACACAGATATGCTGTTTTCGTTCAGATCAAATCTACGTAGGAAACAGATCCGGCGTTACGCAGCTGACACAGAACAGCGTACATTGTTTACGTCCAGCTGATACTCTCCAAAATGGCGCTACAGGGTGGAATTAAGTATTCTCGTAGCTTCGTATAGTTGCGGTTGAACCACTGATGTCACATGGATTATTTTACCAATCTCCTTGCTATGTCTGGACGTGGGAACATTTCAGTTGTATTGCCGTCTATGGAGGGTCAGACAGCTGTCAGATTCCATCAAAAATATTTTTATTTGTGTTCCGAAGATGAATGAAGGTCTTACGGGTTTGAAACGACATGAGGGTGAGTAATTAATGACAGAATTTTCATTTTTGGGTGAACTAACACTTTAATTATATTTCAGCTGTAACAAGAGTATTGCTCCCAGTAAATTTTCACATATATTTAATAGGGGTGACCCCGAATAGTCGAAGATTCCATGCTTCGATAGGAGGAGCCTGATTCGACTACCAGTCCTACAGTAGAATATTCGTGGGGTGTTATGATCATGCCATTTTGGCTATATGGGGGTGCTCAAATGTCTGATTTCACATAGAACTACTGTTTTTTTTCCCAATAAGTTAATATACAGCCTATAGGGTGTTTGCACATGACGTCACTGATGACGCGCGCAATGCAGCTGGAGGGCAGGAAGTGATTTTTCTCTCCATAGGAATCACTAGCAGAAACTCAAAATGCCAGTGTTTTGCGTTGTTTATGGATGCTCAAATCGGACAAACCGAGAAACCACAAGGAGCTTTTATCGTGTACGAAAATGTGTTGTTCATAAGTGGGGAAAAGTCAAGAAATTGATTGAAAAACGCAGGAAAAAGTGGCTTGTAAACCTGCGTCTGCGGTCGGGAGGAGCGAAGCTCGTGTGATAATGCTCGTGTGTGCAAATGGTTAATATAAGATAATATATTAAAATATTAATAAAGAAATATATAAATAGATACAGGGTGACACAGTCAGAATTCACTCAGTGCTAAACGACACACGTAGACACGTAAATAAGATATTATTTACAGTTCAGAGAGCTTCACTGATTATAAAGGAACATCGTGAGATTGCGATAAATTGTCCGATTTGAGCATCCATAAACAACGCAAAACACTGGCATTTTGAGTTTCTGCTAGTGATTCCTATGGAGAGAAAAATCACTTCCTGCCCTTCTGCTGCATTTCTCGCGTCATCAGAATCACGTGATTGCAAACAACCTATTAAAATAATGCTGTAAATAAGAATCTGAAAAGAAAGAAGCTTCAAATAAATATTTTAACGTGCGTAAATAAATCCAACTATAGATTTAAGTTTCACTTTCCATAACCCGTGATGGACAGAGGAGCATTTTGGCGGCAGGGATTTAAAACTTTAACAAGACTCAAATTGACACAGGCAGAGTGAAAGACTGGATTTTTTCGATCTGGTATAGGCTACAAGTGATTTCAAAACATTTCAGGCGGTTTATATATATGTGTATATATTATTTATCTCGTATAAGATGCATTTGGTTGAGTTGCGCTGCAGTAAAGCGCTTCATTAGTACTACGATGTAGTAGGCTATGGTTATCTCTTCAGCGCGCAGCGCGAGCAGGACAAACAACAATGCAGAATTTTAATAACTATGACTGGGACTGTCATATACATAACAATTATAATGAGAACACTATTATAATAAAACGCTGCCGTGATTCTGCACGTTTTTGCGTGAAGAACGCGTCCACAAAAGGAGTTCATTCAGAGCTGCGCAGACACGTTCGCGCATTCGGGGCATTTTGTGCAGATAGCATACAAGTCGTAATATTAACGTTATGTTGTATAAATAACGAAGCGTATTCTACATGAGATAAATGATGAGTTAAATCCCATTGATTAAAAACTTGCTGCTTCATTCTACTGGTCTTCAGCACGCGCAGCTCAAAACAGAAATGCAGAACATTAATAACTCATATATAACGTTATAATGAGAGCACTATTGTAAAAAATGTTGTGAATTCTTAGGGTTTCGCTTTGTTAACTATCTTTTAATCAAAATATAAAACATTATTTACCCCGATTGTATCTGCGAGGCGTCCGTAACACGTTTTCCCTGTGTGTTAACGTAATTGTGACTGTCTAATGTCTGACTTGACTCTTGGTAATGTATTTTGCCCCACCCCCAAAACATATGATTCGACTATCAGTCGAATATATGCAAGATTCGAAAATTCTGATTCGACTATGAAAATCCTTAGTCGGGGACATTTAATTATATAAGATAAGACATACATTTACTGTCTGGAATATTTAAAAAGCTATGATTATTAATGTGACATTTATTTTAGTTGTGATCATGTATACCTGAGCCGTAAATGACTCCTCCTAAAAATGCCGGTTTGAATTTGAGGTCGATGTTCCAAACATTTCTATAGCAACACAGCACCTTAAAACACAAAATCAACACAGGCACAGTACTGACACTGCATTTGCACCGAAGGCATGGCAATTAATATACTAAGGATGAAAAACATTACTAACCTCAAATGCCAGCCAGGAATAAGGAGAGATGACATCATAGAACAACTCGACCACTCTTCTGGAATTGGACATCTGTAATAAATAATAACAATATAATATATTTACAAATTCAAACACATAAGTATGGACTACAATATACAGTATATTACAATATATTATAATGGCATTTACAGGCATGAGGGCACACTACCTTTGCTGTGTTCTTATTCTTGTTCTGATTCCTTTAAACGGAGGGTGTAGCTGCAGGATGGAGATCTCTAAGGGATAGGATCTACAAAGAAAAGACATAGGCAAACCCTACCCCTAACCTTAACTATCTGTCTTGTACCCTCCCTTTTAAACTTTCTCCAAACCTGTTTGGAATTCTTTTTCCCTTTTTGGAAACCACTTGTCTTCCACCATGTCTATGTGTTTAATGGTGGTTGGCAAACCAGCTTAGCTGGGATCACTGTTTCATGTGCTTTAAAACTCATTAGCACATGCTGTACAGTCTCTGGGAGTTCAGACATACGATACCTTTCTGACTAATGTTCCCAATTCAAAGAAGTGACTGGTTTTACCCTCGGTGACACGGTCTCATTTTTGTACTTGTTGTACTTGTACCCTCAGTGAAGAGAAACCTTGTTAAAGTTCAATGCAGTTAGAATGAGAGACAAATCAAGATCCACTATTTATGGCAGAAGGCCACTCATTAGTTATGGTAGCTTAACAACCATTATTAATAACATATTATGAACAAACTTCACAATAAACAAAAACAAAACTATTCTTGGACTCAATAACTTAATCTAATACAATAGATCTTAATCGGGGTTGAATTGTTTTATATTTAATTGAATTTTATGTGGATGAAAATAAGCCTGTGAAAACACACACTGTAGAATGGTCCTAGGCCCGATGTAATTTTCACATTCAACTTTTAAAACTGTTTTATGGAGTTTTTGTCTACCGAGTTATTTTGAAAGAGGTTTCTTCACCTGAACTGTTTTGAGACTTTAACCTTGTAAAGCCTACATATCGTATTTGATACACATATTTCGAAAGCCTCTAAATTATTAAGACAAAACTTTGCTGAAAAACCTGTTGTACACAGTCTTCTACATGCCTTCTGTCTGATAGCTTACTTAATATAGTATACCATAGTAAGTAAAAGGCCTTTTAGTATAATTATAAAAATGTCCACCTTCAGGTTCTGGTACGTGTCAAATGTTAACTTAAAAGATTTTTTTCACACCCAGAAAATGTAAAAGCATGAGAACTTTCACATTACATGAGGACACGGGGGTCAGTTGGGTTGTTTGGGTTTACAATCTGATTTTTATAAGACCTTATTTTAAAGAATTATTACACTCTTAAAAATAAAGTTTCTAAAAGGGGGATTTTGTAGTGATGAAATAAAAAAAACATTTTGGATTCCACAAAGATCAGTTCTTTAAAAAAAAAAAAAAACAATGTGAAAAT